CTCTTTCTCTTTTTTTTTCTTCCCTTCCCCCTCACATGGACATTGTTTTTGAAGCAATATTTTGTAAAACTCTGATGGAAGACTTGGCAGTCACTTAACACATAATTAAATTAGTGTCACACTGGCACAGAAGACTTATAGATTGAGTAGGACAAACTAGGTAACTGAAACAGACCTACAATAAATAAGATAAAGTAAGCATTTCAAATTAGTGATAATTTCTATCAGTGGGACAATTTCTTAACCATTTGGATGGAAAAAAATAGTTAGGTCCCTACTCTGTACCATACTCCAAAATGAAAGCACTAGAAAAAAAATCAATATTTTTATATTTTTGGATTAGGATCCTTTCAAAGAATAATATTAAAGGTAGAAAGAAACCATAAAGAAAAAGACTGACAATTTTGACCACTTTTTTAACTTGTAAAAGTTAAAAGAAAAATTAGAAAGAAAACTAAAATGCAAAGAAGTATTTCTTTTAAAAACTATGTTATTTGATTAAATATGACAAAGGATTAATGTCTGAATATTCTTACAAATCTACAAAACAAAAGTAGACATCCCAATAGAAATATGAGCACAAGGCATGAGCACACAATTCACAGAGATTGCTAATAGCCAATAAAGATGTTAAAAATACCAAAAACAATGAGATGCCATTTCTACTGTATAAATAAAGATTAATAATACTCTCCAATGATTATGGTGAGAGTGAGAGGAATGTGATTATTCTCACATAAAATCCTTCTGGAGAGCAATTTGACAAGATAGGTCAGAAACACAACCCACTGACCCAGAAATGTTGCTTCAGGCATTTTGTTTCAAGAAAATTATAAGGTACCTGTGCCAAGGTGAATATACAGTGATATTTATCATATTGCTGCTTATAATGTCACTTATCATGAGAGAAACTAGAGCATGATAGGATTCAGACTGCTGCCTAGTGTAGTGGCGCACACCTATAATCCCAGCAACTAGGAATACTGAGGCAGGAAGATTGAAAGTTCCAGGCCAGCCTCAGCAACCTAGCAAGGTCATCAGTTACTTAGAAAGACCCTATCTCAAAATTAAAAAAAATAAAAATGACTGGAGATGTGGCTCAGTGGTCAAGTGCCCTGGGTTCAATCCCTGAAACCAAAAAAATAGATTCAGACTATGAAAAACTTTAGACAAACTAATATTTTTGTACCTCAGTTTCCTCATCTATAAAATGGAAATAGTAATATTCATTAAATAGAACTATTATGCAAGTTAACATGCTTAGAAACAATTCTGGACACATAGTAGTGTTTGTTTATTTTGAATAATAAAGGCCATTTCATTGTAGGCTATGATTGTAACAATAGAAAACCAAGATAATCTCAATATCCAACAATGAGATATTGGCTATGTTAATTATGATTTAGTCATATAATGGAAATTCTATACTTATTAATGTGTATTTATGTTTTTTTAAAGAGAGAGAGAGAGAATTTTTTAATATTTATTTTTTTAGTTTTCGGTGGAAAACTTTATGTGGTGCTGAGGATCGAACCCAGCGGCCGGCGAGCGCGCTACCGCTTGAGCCACATCCCCAGCCCCTATCTTTACGTTTTTAATGGAAAAAATATTTTCACTTTACATTGCTCACTGGAAAGAGCATATTAGGAAACAGTTTGTATAGTATGATTCCATTTGTTTAAAAAATAAGCTAATGTGATCCAGACAAAATTCAAAGAATATGTTAATAGTGTTTCTGTCTGGCTAGTGGGAGAACAGATATTATTTTGTTTATTATTACTAAGTTTTCTATAATGAACATATATGTTACTTATTTTTAAACTAATAATAAAATAGAGGAAACAAGCAGTTCTTCGAGTAAATTGTTTCTGTAAGAACCAGAAGTCCCTCTCCTAGGAATACAGCTCAGAGACTTGAAAACATACAAAAATCTTGTTCATGAATGTTCATAACACCATTATTCATAATAGCCAAAAAGTGGAAGCAACCCAGTGTTCCTCCATCAATAAAAGAATAAGCAAAATGTGGTATATCCATATAATAGAATTTTTGGCAATAAAAAAAATGAAGTGCTTTATGACATTTATTTATGACACAGATGAACCTCCAAAACATTATGCTAAGAGAAGGAAGTCAACACAAAAGGCACATATTTCATGATTTCATTTAAATGAAATGTTCAGAATAGACAATCTGAAGAAAAGAACGTAGTTTTCTGGTTGCTAAGGGCTAGACAGATGAGGCAGTAGAAAGTGACAGCTAAAAATATAGGATTTCTTTGAGGGAATGATGAAAATGTTTAGAGTTTGGATAATAGTAGTATCTGCACAAGTTTGCGAATTCATATACTGAAAATCACTGAATCATGTACTTTAAAAGGGGGAATTTCTTGGAATGTGTATTTTAACTGAAAATAATGTTTAAGAAAAGTAAAATTGGGCTGGGGTTGTGGCTCAGCAGTAGAGCACTCGCCTGGCATGGGCAAGGCCCTGGGTTCGATCCCCAGCACCACATAAAAATAAATTTAAAAAGATACTGTGTCCAACTAAAAAATATTAAAAAAATAAAAAAGAAAAGTAAAATTGAGTCTTGGCTATAAGACACTGGGATTTTTTTTTGTTATTGTTTTGCAGTATTAGGGATTGAACCCAGTGCCTCATGCATGCTAGGCAAGTGCCCTACCACTGTGTTACATCCCTAGCCCTTATTATTTTATTTTTGAGACAGTGTCTCATTAAGTTGTAATCCTCCTACCTCAGCCTTCTCGTAGTTACAATTATAGGCATGTGTCACCACACCCAGCTCTAGATACAGAATTTATTTTAAAACATTCGTTAGCAAATTAAAACCTAATTTTTCACTGAATTCTGTAATTGTATTTATGGTTGGTTTGTTTTGCAGTACTAGCTACCAAAATCAGTTTTACTGCATGCTAGGCAAGCACTCTATCACTGAACTATACCCCAACTACTTAGTTTTGAATTTTAAAAGAGTTTTAAATTTTAAATTTAAATTCATAAGTAAATTATAAATGACCAAATAGTTACATCTTTATAGCCTCCCCTACTTTTTAAATGAAAAGTTTGGCTGTTTTAAAATTGATACAGGAAGATGTTTGTCAGATTTAAGGTGTTTTTTTTAAATATTTGTACTAGTTTTGGAGTTTTTAACTTTACTTAAATGCTCAGTTATCATTCTAATGATTTTTAGACAGGTATTTTGTTTTATTTGAGTTTCATTTTATTGGGTTAAATTTTATTTTATTTTATTTTATTTTATTATTTATTTTGTTTCATTTGGAGACAGGGTCCCAGTTGCCCAGGTGATCCTCTTGCCTCAGCCTCCCAAGTGGCTGAGATTACATGCATGGGATTATTGCCTAATGGTGTCTAACCAGCTCAGAGAGTTTAAATGAGAGTGTGTCTAGTCATGTCTTCTCCAATAAACTGTCAGCTCTAGATCCCATTTTATGGTGTGCAAATGTTTTAAATATGTTTTTAAATAATGTAAGCAGTATAAATAGTTCTCATTTTTGCTTTTATGATTTCCCTTTCACCTGTTCCCATCCCTTTCCCTCCCCTGACCTTTCTTGTGCTCCAAAATACAAAAAAAAAAAAAAAAAAAAAAAAAAAAGAGTTAGAGTGTAATACCTACTTTTTGTAATTTTTTTTTTTTTTTTTGAGACAGGGTCTCTTTAAATTGCTTAGGGCCTTGCTAAGTTGCTAAGGCTTGCGTCAAGCTTGCAGTCCTTCCTCAGCCTCCCAAGTAGCTGGGATTTATAGGCAGGCAATTTCCTCACCTGGCTTAATACCTTCTTTTTAACTAATACTTTCCATAAGCATTTATTGAGCACCTACGATATGTTAAGGCATTATGCTAAAGTTAATGGTACAGAAAGGAAATGTATAGATTCAGACAGTGAAAATGGCATATCAAAGAACTACTCTGGGAACAGTTAGGAGGGCAGTAGTCCATATAGAGATGGCCAGGCAAGACTTCCTTTTATCATCAACATAATTAGAAGGTTGGTATTTGAAACCAAGACACATCTGTGATGTAGTTTTAGAGAACTGTTAAAGTCTAGTTTATGTTTTTCCCTTAGCATATCCATAATTACATAAGCGCAGGAAAGAAATCTTGAGAAAAGTCAAAGGGATCCTCCCCAAGACATGTGTATAAGGCAGAAGTCATTTTTTTTTTAAATTGGCATGAATGCAGGCAGTACAGATGCAGTGACATTGGGTGAAACTTCAGTTTCTGCTTCCATGGCTGCTTAACATGTTTAAGATCTTATAAACCATCAGAATTTTTAGGGGCTTTGCTTCCCCTAATAATATACCCATTATATTAAAAAGCAAAATACCATCAATAATTTAAAGGAATTACTGTCCTCATTGCTGTTTTTAAAGAAATCAACAATCCTATTTACTTTGCACTGCTTTCTACACAACTGATTTTCATCTGATACATACTACTACAGCTATATTGGGTTAAATATGAAATACATCCTTACTGGTTCATAAAGAACTGCTTCCTTAGGCTCTCTGGATGGCCCACTACAGCCTGCTTCACCCCATGTACTACATCCCTGACTCCCTACAATCCAGTAATTAAAAGGTTATCCTCAAGCATAGCTAGAGGCCCTTAGAACCCTTTTTCACTACCTTTGCAAGCTTATTGATTGCTAATACATGGGTCATCCCCATGTTTAATCATTTTGAATATTGCCCTGATTTTCTGATTGTTGGGAGTAACTCATTATTGTTTTGTCAGTTTGCCTTCTGCCGTCTAGTGTAATCAGATGGCTCTAGCACACCTGCATTGCTTTTCTATGTAGGACTCTGCAAAAATTCAGAATTTAATTAGTCTCAGAAAAAGCCCAGAATGCCATCATACTGTAACCCTAATAATCTACTAAAACACACCACTTCCCCCCACCTCCATTTCCCTAAATGTTGACAGTTCCACCTAATTCTCTGTTTTCTTGTCCTTCCTTTTAGTTCGCTTTGCACCATACAGGCCTCCAGATATCTCCCTGAAGCCACTGCTCTTTGAAGTACCCAGTATCACTACAGAGTCGGTGTTCGTTGGCCGGGATTGGGTTTTCCATGAAATAGATGCTCAACTTCAAAGTTCAAATGCCAGTGTGAACCAAGGAGTGGTGATTGTGGGAAACATTGGATTTGGCAAAACTGCCATCATCTCTAGGCTGGTGGCCCTCAGCTGCCATGGTACACGGATGAGACAGATCGCCTCAGATAGCCCACATGCCTCCCCCAAACGTATGTATTCCTTTTTAAAGAATTCCCTACTTAGTTGGGTCTGAAATTTTTTCTGACGTGTGTGTCAGGCAATATACCCTTTTATTTTTTTAATTTATTTATGTATTTGTTCTAATTAGTTATACATGACAGCAGAATGCATTTTAATTCATAGTACACAAATAGAGCACAATTTTTTGTTTCTCTGATTGTACACAAAGTAGAGTCACACCATTTATTCTTTTATTTTTTTGATCTGTAAAATTTGACTTGCATGTGAGTATCATTACTCAGAATTCAGAGAAAGAATATAATACTCTGTGCATCCAATAGTCTTCTATGAGTGACTGAGAAAATCTTTCTCATGGAATAAATTTATGACTCTTCCTGCTGACTGTATGGCTGCTTTGTCCTTTGGATAATGATTACATCACTTGCCTGTGGAGCCATTTGCATCTATCACTGTCAGATTTTCTTCAACCTGTGCCCATTTCTTCTTGTTACATGCCAGCACAATCTGTTCGCAGCCTTCATTTCTTTGCTGTTGATGTCAGTGTGCTCTGATTGGACTTGAGCTTTATTGTGTTCTTGAAGGATTTTTCCTGCTTCCTTTGAAAAGATGATGAGTTCTCATTTGGCTTCTTTTATCACAACTTTAATGATCACCACCAGTCTCTTGTTTGATTATTTTAAAACACTCATATGGTACGTATTATATGCCAAAGAGACTCTAAGAGCTTTACAAATACTAATTCATCCAATCCTTTTATAAACTCAGTGAGGTTGTTCCTGTTGTCTTCATTTCACAAAGAAGTAATCTGGGGCTCAGAGAGGTTAAATAAACCTCCCAGGTTTTAACTGCCAATAAATGGTGAAACTAAGAATTCTGGTTTCAGAGGCCATTCTCTCACTCATTTTTCTGTGTGGCTTCTCCTTATTGGTAAAACTCACTCAAGTAAAGAAAATAAAAGAATGTATATAAATGTTCTTTCTGTATATACCATATGTATAGCATCCATTTACCTTGTTTCTTTTAATTGTGTCAGAACATAAAAGAAAGCTGTGGCTCTACTAGTCCAAATCAGTAATCTAGCCCACCACACTTTGAGATAACCTCTATAAATGGTTTGTATGAGATCATAGTAGTTATGGGGTCTAAAGTCAGGAACCCACTAAATACCCTTCAGATATCCTGGCTTCCTACTGAAATTAGTATTCTTTTATCAAAAAGACAGATTGCCTCTGGTAAAGTTATGAATGTCTAACCTGTAGAAGAAAACTAACTTCTATGAAGAAAATCAGTTGAAAAAGAAATAACCCTCTTTACCAGTGTATGGTAAGAAATGTTATGAAAGAATTCTTATCTTAAGGGGAATGTCATGTTTAGATTCTAAATGAAACTTTTCTAAGGTAGACTAACATACTACTCTGAGAGTCAGAAACCCAGGATTTGTGTCCCAGCATTCAAATTGACCGCAGTACTTTGTGACCTTGAGAATTTCACTTTAATTGTTTAGATCTCAGTTTTCTCATCTGCAAAATGAAGCAGTATGGTTAAAATTTTGCTTCTGAGAATATTTTCATGGTTGAAAGTAAATTTTCACACTATTATACTATTTTCCTTCAAGTGCTTAAAGTCTATCACACAAAACTACCTTTTATCTGAGTTGTCCAAGAGGTAAGCTATTTTCATGTGTCAGAAAGAAAACCAGATAGCTAATAGTCTCTGACTCCTCTTTATATCAGTGTTGTAGATAATAGAGTGGTAGAATCATACATGACAGTAGATAAGTCCTAAGGGCAAGAATAGCTGCTTTCCCAGAAAGCAAAGGTAACTGGGAATAAGAGCAAGAGTTAATTGAAAATAGTCCATGTACTCCCCAAAGCAGAGATTCTTTAAAGGTAGTTCACTAAGTTATTATCTAATATAATCCATTGCCTTTTATCTCCTGAAAATCTCCAAAACACTGGGACATTCTGCATTCATGAGATAAATGCCCATTGTTGAGACTATAGATTTGGCCTGATAGTGAACTTTAAAAACTTCAAGCTGAGAGGACAGTACATATCTGTAATCCCAGCTACTTGGAAGGCTGAGAAAGGAGGATTACAGGTTCAAGGTCAGCCTAGCCAATTTAGCGAAATCTAAAAGGAAGGGCTGGAATTGTGGCTCAGTGGTAGAGCAATTACCTAGCCACATGTAAGGCACTAGGCCCGATCCTTGGCACCACATAAAAAATAACTAAATAAAATAAAGTGTGTCTATCTACAACTAAAAATATTTCTTAAAACTTTTCTTAAAATTCAAATTAAAAGGGCTGGAAGGATAGCCCAGTGGTAAAGTGCCTTAAGTTCAATCCCCATTACTGAGAAAAAAAATTTTTTTTGAATAATCAGGAGAGATACAGTATGTGATAATATATCTATCAGAATTACATAGAAATAGCATTGCCTTATACAGAGTAATTATTTTTGTAATCTGTTGATTAAACTACATCTTTGTAATCTGTTAGTCAAACTATATTCTACCACTACCATCTTAACAGCCTAGTAGTCCTTAAAGAAGAATCAAGGGGCTGGGGATGTGGCTCAAGCGGTAGCGCGCTCGCCTGGCATGCGTGCGGCCCGGGTTCCATCCTCAGCACCACATACGATCAAAGATGTTGTGTCTGCCAAAAACTGAAAAATAAATATTGAAATTTAAAAAAAAAAAGAAGAATCAAGAATAAGTAACTGATATAATGCAAGCTATTTTTCAGCATAAATTTGTTATTAAATGAGCTGGCACTTAAAAGGTTACTTGCAGCAGCAGAATTTTTTCATTAATCAATAAGAAAGATGTCAGAGGGTTAGCCTAATTTTTTACAGAGTTTAACTTACATTAAACTTGAATAGGTTTATCTGGTATCTCACTGGCCTTCATAATCTTTGGTCATTGGTATCAGAGATGTAATTGTACTAATAATGAAAATAAATGAAAAGCTATGGTGCTTCTGGCTCCCCTCCAACCCACCCACCCCCACCAAGTCATCTGTTCTTTCTTTTACAGTACTTCATTGCCTGGCTTTCTTTTCTTTACAGACAGTCCCTCAGCCTGCCCCCTCATTGTCATTTCCCTGGTAAAGTACAGAAAAGCTGTCAAAGCAGGCACTACCCTATCATCCTTCTTTCCACCTACTTTCCCAAATCTCACTTCTCCCATCATTCTCTGCCACCATCACCTGTACCCCCAACACACACACACACACACACACACACACACAAAAAAAACATTTTGTGAAAATAGACCTGTTGTATAATTCAGATATTGTAACATTAACTACAGCTATTCTCAGTGCAGTAGAGAAGTTCTTTTAATACAAGACTATGTTTTCCTATCACTAAAATGGCCCAATGATAGTTACTTGAATTTGACATTTGTTGACAGCTACTAAACCCCCAAATAGATGCTAGGTCAGTAACCCCCACTCTCCCTACTCTGCTCATTTCATAAGTCTGTTTTGCCATTTTGATGTGCATACGAACTACCACCTATTAACTTTTATTTCTACTGTGTTCTGAATATCAAATAGAAAATAAGACTCTGAAAGACAAAAAAATAAGGGCATCTCCAAAAGGGACCAGCTAGAAGTCAGAATATTTGAATAATAATTACACACAAAATTAAAATCAAAATAATGGGGAGAGTGGGGGGGAATAAACACCATGAATAATAACAGTGACAGATAATCACTGAACTTTGCCTCTATTCAAAATGTCATGTATTTCTTCAGACTTTTATACACTGCCATCTCCTATACCCACCACCCTGCCATTATTAAGAACTTATTTCGTAACCAAGGAATCTACCAGTTGGATGAAAGAAATCTAAATTCACTCTTACTGGTAAGGAGTTAAGTGAAGACTACCTTCTTTTTTTCAATAACTATTGGCCATCAAATAATGAATTCAAATATTTGTTTAGTGCCTGTTTTAGAAATATGGTCTTATTTATAAATATGGCTTATAATTTCTAGTAGTACTTAAGAATATGTTTTCTAAATTACAGGAACAAATAGAATTTTTTTTAAAAAATTGTAATCTTATGGAACTATAATTTACAACCATGCAGTTCACTCATTTAAAGTATTCAGTTCAGCTTATACAAAAATCATTAGTCTAATATTAGAACATTTTTATCCTACTAAAAGAAACCCATGACTCTTAGTAGTAAATCCCTTTTTTCCCACAAATCCCTTACCTCCGGCCCCAGAAAACCCCTAGTTTACTTTCTGTTTCTATGGGTTTCCCTATTTGGGGCATTTCATATAAATAGAATCATAAAAGGGTCATTTTGACTGACTTCTTTGACAGCATAGTGTTTTCAAGGAACATCTATGTTGTATATCTCATTTCTTTTTATTGTCATGTTTAATCCATTGTTTGTCTATATTGCATTTTATCTATTCATCAGTTGATTGACATTTGAGCTATTTTCTGGTTTTTGCCTATTTTGATCATGCTTCTCTGAACATTTGTGTACAAGTTTTTGTGTAGATATGAGTTTTTATCTCTATTGGGCATATAGCTTGGAGGGGAATTGCTGAATTGCTGGGTCATAGAACAAATGGAATTAACTAATCATCCTTTAGTTCAGGCTTATATGATTATCTGATGCAAACATCTCATCTTTTTAATCCAGATGTGGATGCCAACAGAGAGTTGCCACTCACACAGCCACCTTCAGCTCACTCATCTATCACAAGTGGGAGCTGCCCAGGAACTCCAGAAATGCGTAGGCGACAGGAAGAAGCTATGCGAAGATTAGCCTCACAGGTAAAACAGAATTCCCAAACTGGGGACATGCTGTTTGCATTTTAACATTAAGGCAAAAATAGGGAGAGCCTTGGCAAAGTAAAAAAATATATGTGAAGATATACCATGAGAATGTGGAGAAAAGTTTCTGGGTTTTTTCATTTGTTGTTATCCCTAGGGGAAAAAATACCTTATTGTGATGGAATCAGAACCTTAGAGTTGGAATAACTTAGAAATGGAGTCTTCTGAGGAATCAATAAGGAAGTAGAAACTCAAAGAAGTTACATGGTTTACCCACGATCACAGTATAAGTAGTTAATAGTTTTTTTTACTTTTCTTTCTAGCTCAAAACTCTTTCTTTATATTATTCTGTCTATATTATGCTATACTTTATACTTATACTATATTTATACTTTATATATACATTTGTACATTTTTTATGTTTGAGTTTGAAATTTCTCTTTTTCTCAAAGTAACATATACATAGAAAATCAAGTAATGCTCAAAACAAGCAGTTTCCTTTCTCTTCTCAACTCATCCATTCCTGAAAAGCAGCCACTTTCAATTGTCTGGCTTTTTTAATCTCAATATTTTTAAATAATACCCATATATTGCTCTAACTTTTCTTATTCATTTACACGTTATCTCTTGCTTATTATAATGATGAGGATAGCTCTTTCACTTTCCTCCTGTCATGCTCCAAGCACAATTACATCATGATTTTTGACTGAAACCCTATTACAATATTTTAAGCATTAATACTGTGCAATCATGATTCACTCTGGAACAAAGGACAACATTTTCTTCTTAAAAAAATTCTATGGGATTTATGAAATGCCTCATTTTAAATTGTACTTATTTTTCTTCAAATCTTTGACTAAGTCATTCCATAATTCTTACTATAATTTTATAAAGTGCATCTTAGTACTACTTTTCATGCTTATCAGTTAAATTTTCCCCTCAGAGATATCCATTCTAAAGCCCATGAAGCTCAGTCTAGACCCAGGATGTTCTTAAGGCTTGCCACCTTTTTATTTTTTTATTTTTTTTTTCTTTTCTCAGTTCTTTTTTTTTTTTAATTTTTTATTGTTGGCTGTTCAAAACATTACATAGTTCTTGATATATCATATTTCACAATTTGATTCAAGTGGGTTATGAGCTCCCATTTTTACCCCATATACAGATTGCAGAATCACATCAGTTACACATCCATTGATTTACATATTGCCATACTAGTGTCTGTTGTATTCTGCTGCCTTTCCTATCCTCTACTATCCCCCCTACCCTCCCCTCCCCTCCCCTCCCCTCCTCTCTCTCTGCTCCCTCTACTGACATTCGTTTGTCCCCCTTATGTTATTTTTCCCCTTCCCCTCACTTCCTCTTGTATGTACTTTTGTATAACTCTGAGGGTCTCCTTCCATTTCCATGCACTTTCTCTTCTCTCTCCCTTTCCCTCCCACCTCTCATCCCTGTTTAATGTTAATCTTCTTCTCATGCTCTTCGACCCTACTCTGTTCTTAGTTACTCTCCTTATATCAAAGAAGACATTTGGCATTTGTTTTTTAGGGATTGGCTAGCTTCACTTAGCATAATCTGCTCTAATGCCATCCATTTCCCTGTAAATTCTATGATTTTGTCATTTTTTAATGCAGAGTAATACTCCATTGTGTATAAATGCCACATTTTTTTTATCCATTCATCCATTGAAGGGCATCTAGGTTGGTTCCACAGTCTAGCTATTGTGAATTGTGCTGCTATGAACATCGATGTAGCAGTGTCCCTGTAGCATGCTCTTTTTAGGTCTTTAGGGAATAGACCGAGAAGGGGAATAGCTGGGTCAAATGGTGGCTCCATTCCCAGCTTTCCAAGAAATCTCCATACTGCTTTCCAAATTGGCTGCACCAATTTGCAGTCCCACCAGCAATGTACAAGTGTACCCTTTTCCCCACATCCTCGCCAGCACTTGTTGTTGTTTGACTTCATAATGGCTGCCAATCTAACTGGAGTGAGATGGTATCTTAGGGTGGTTTTGATTTGCATTTCTCTGACTGCTAGAGATGGTGAGCATTTTTTCATGTACTTGTTGATTGATTGTATGTCCTCCTCTGAGAAGTGTCTGTTCAGGTCCTTGGCCCATTTGTTGATTGGGTTGTTTGTTCTCTTATTGTCTAATTTTTTGAGTTCTTTGTATACTCTGGATATTAGGGCTCTATCTGAAGTGTGAGGAGTAAAGATTTGTTCCCAGGATGTAGGCTCTCTATTTACCTCTCTTATTGTATCTTTTGCTGAGAAAAAACTTTTTAGTTTGAGTAAGTCCCATGTGTTGATTCTAGTTATTAACTTTTGTGCTATGGGTGTCCTATTGAGGAATTTGGAGCCCGACCCCACAGTATGTAGATCGTAGCCAACTTTTTCTTCTATCAGACGGCGTGTCTCTGATTTGATATCAAGCTCCTTGATCCATTTTGAATTCACTTTTGTGCATGGCGAGAGAAAGGGATTCAGTTTCATTTTGTTGCATATGGATTTCCAGTTTTCCCAGCACCATTTGTTGAAGATGCTATCCTTCCTCCATTGCATGCTTTTAGCCCCTTTATCAAATATAAGGTAGTTGTAGTTTTGTGGATTGGTTTCTGTGTCCTCTATTCTGTACCATTGGTCCACCCGCCTGTTTTGGTACCAGTACCATGCTGTTTTTGTTACTATTGCTCTGTAGTATAGTTTGAAGTCTGGTATCGCTATACCGCCTGATTCACACTTCCTGCTTAGCATTGTTTTTGCTATTCTGGGTCTTTTGTTTTTCCATATGAATTTTATTTTGAAAATTATTATCACTTCTCTTTTATCCCATATCACCTTCTTTCTTGATTTTATTCTTCATTTTCTTGGAACAGATCCTCCAGGAGCTTCCTAAGAAATTATGCATATAACATAAGTTTTTTGAGACTTAACATTTCCAGAAGCATCTTTATTCTATGCTCATACGCTTCTGTTTGTTTGACATAATATATCACTCTAGATTAAAAATTATTATCCCTCATATTTTGAAGGCATTGATTGCCCCATTGTCTTGAACTTCAAAATTGATGTCAAATAATCTGATACTATTCTTATTCAAAATTCTTTGTATATACCTTTTTTCTCTCCAGAAGCTTTTAAGATCTTTTTTATCACCATATTCTTGGATCTTTTTTCATAATTATGTTGGTACATAGCAAGCCCTAAAAATAGTGTTTAATTTTGGAAAATGCTTTTGTATTGTTTATCAATAATTTCCTCCTGTTCTGTCATTTTATAACTCTTGTTAACTTGTTAATAGGAGCTAATCAAAAATTAGATTTCCTGTGCTGATACTCTAGTTTTCTTAAATTTCTATCCTGTTTTTCATGTTCTCATTTTTGGTTTTGGATTTTTTTTTCCTTATAAGCCACTTTGGTAGATTTCTTCAACATTACTTTCCAATCCTTTTGGGACTCCCCCCAAAAAAAAAAAAAAAATATATATATATATATATATATATATATATATATATATATTGGCAATCATTATTTTAATTTCCAGTAGTTTTTTTTCTTTTTCTGCAGTTGTCCCCCTTTTTATTTAGCATCCTATTCATGTTTTATGTATGCAGTGTGTTCTCTTTTCCTTTATGATTAGGTACTGAAAAACTAATTGGAAGTTTGTGTGTGCAGACAGCAAGATGATCCATTCTTTATTGAAAATACCCAAAAGTCAGTGTCCATATTCTCTAGCAAAGAATCCTCCAGTTTCTTGCCTGGGTGCCAGCAATCTGGAGCTGGGTAGAAGAGGGATAGGGTTTTACCAGTCAGTGTATGACTTTTGCTAAAGCCCTCCCTAGCTTTTTTTCTTTTTTTTTTCTTTTTTTTTTTTTTTTTTTGGTTCTGCACCTTATCCCTACCTTTGTCTATGTTTGGTGTCCCTAAGTCTAGATTCTCTCCTATTTAGTTTCTCTAGTTAAATATAATTTTCATTCCACTGACTCTTGAGGAGATTATCACCTGGCTGGACAGGGTGTGGAAATGGAGATATGGGGATGTAAACTTTACAGAAATTCTGTTTTCAGCTCCCTTCCTCACACTCATCTTCCACTGTACCTGGGGCTTCTAATTCCTATGCTTTTCTGAAATTTTAAAGATGGTCTGTAATAGTGTAAGGTTATAATTTTTTTTCGATCTGGCTAAGAGCCAGAAGCAGCTGTTTCCCCAATTTACATTATTAATTACCCCCACAGATTAGCATACACTCATCTACAAATGAGCTTCTGTAAACAGAAATTTCACTCAGATTTATTCCTCACTCATTGTAAGTTCAAAAGAGACATCTGTTTTTCCCTGAATATTCTCTGTGTAAATGGTCCCCAATTTCTTCTTTTTTAGAACAAGTAGAATAAATATTGTAGAAATATGTGAATGCTGAGGAGCTTCCACCATCAGTCTTTCAGCTATTCATTTAGAATATAACTTTGGAAGCACCAAAAATCCAAAACTAAAGATAAATCAGTGAAAAAAAAACAGACACAAATCTCTATATTATGTAGCTCACATTTTCATGGTGGGAAGATAATAAACAGATAAATATGTAATATGTCAGGTAATTGTTAAAAAAAATCTTAGAGAATTAAGTCTTCTTGTTAAGTCTTAGTTCCTCTCTTAGCAAGAAAAGTCCCAAGATATTTATGTTCAATATTTAGAAAATGTTAAATATTGTAGTCAGCACATGCTTGTAATCCCAGTGTCTTGAGAGGCTAAGGCAGGAGGATCACAAGTTCAAGGCCAGCCTTAGCAGATAGCAGCAATTTAGCAAGGCCCTGTCTCAAAATATAAAAAGACTGGGGATGTAGTTCAGTGGTAAGGTACTCCTGGGTTTAATCCCCAGTGAAAAAAGAAAATGTTACATACATTTATAGGAAATTTGACTATTTCTACTTAGTTGAGAAGTATATTTTAAATTTTATGGTTATTTCTTCCTTAAGCAAATAAATAAATCTGTTTGCACCTAGA